GTGCCATTCCACATTATTACAAATAAGGTCTGTTTATGACATTTATGTTTGATTTCTTTGTATGTATGGATCACTTGGGTTGTTACCAACATCTGGTGAAAATTTCATGTCATTAGCACCTCTAGTAATATATTTACTGAGAAAAATGTTGACGTGTTCAATATTTATTTTACCCGCTGTAAACAGATATGGTAATGTACATGTGCTAAACTGAAGAAGCATGGGCCAAATACGGCCCTCATTAACATTTTTTCTGGCCCTAAAGGTAATACTTAAAATGTAAAATGGTTTTATGGTTTCTCTTTTTGTCACTTGATTCAGTGCATTCTTCTCAACAGGAAAATTAAGTTTGAATTTTTCAGTAAACTTTGATTTTGGTGTGGAAAGAGAGACAGAGAATTACATTTTTTCTGTGTTCTTTCCTTATTAAGGACATAATTGGACTTTTAGTGAGAGTTTTATTTTTTTAACTGATATTCTGGATTGGGCTAAAATGTGTCTCTAAGAAATAATAAATCTAAAAGTTTTTGGAGAGAGTAACTCTTAAAAAATTAATGCTAAAGACGAGTCTTCCTAAATTTAATATTTTTCTTTATCCCTTACGTTATGTATATTCTAAATGCTACATAATATATAATTTGGAAAACTATTTTCAATAAATATTTACATATATTAATAGATTATAGATTGGCTCTTGGACTGGACCAAGTTTTGAATTTGGCGCCCTTGTGTTTATGTCTCCTTTTGACCGCCACAAAGGCTCAGGCAATAATGTTTTCCAATGTGTCTGAGTGTGTGGAGTTTTCTTTGGTGTTAACTAAATATCTCAAAAACCATTAGCCAGATGTGCCTCAACAACTGGTTAACTTTTGAGGTTAACCCAATTCAAGATGTCTGCCAGTCAACTGACCACACAAAGCACAAAAACCTATGATTCAAACAAATCTACAGATATTCAGCTAAAATGTGATGTGGTAGTAGCTGAGAGTCGTTCATGCTCACGTCTAGCTTTAGTGGAGCCAAAACCAAAGCGGAACTTCAGATTGTAGTATTTTTACGATGGCAGCCATCCACTTTGGTCTTGGCCTCGTTAAGACTAGTTAGTAGCTCATCAGTTTGGTCAGAATGAAACTATTTCGTCACATTGAAGTCAAAGCACCATTTACAGCTGCTCGTAACCTTCGAAGGATATGAACACAAGTGTCAAAATGAAGCTGCACAAACCTGTTTGGGTTGTGAGGGTCGGTGTATCTCAAATAATACCAGGCTGAGTCCACAAATGTGTCCATGGTGTCAGTTTCCCGCCTCGCTGGGCCTTTACATCTACCAGGAGAGACAAACAAAGACAGAGTTGGCAGAAATGACTATGAGGTCAGCAGATTAGAGCAGATGAATGACCCTTGTTCATCTGGTCAGAAAAAAAAACCTGATTGTGTTTAAGTGTAAAACTGGCTCCGTGTGTGTGTGTGTGTGTGTGTGTGTGTGTGTGTGTGTGATCTGTCTGCAGAGCTGAACAGCTGAAGCCAGACTGGCACCAGAGACCTGCTCTGGTGCCCTGACTAACAGTCTGAGCTAACAGCGGGAACAACAAACGGGTCTTTTTTTGCGATGGTGTGTTTGAGTTAGAAATGCCACCTCGTGGTCCCTCTCTGTCCAAGTCAAACAGCACTCGGTGCACGATACAAGTCTGCCAACAGCTCTCTTACCRTGCAGGAGAGGACATCCACACAGACATGGAGAGAAAGAAATAAAAAGAAGCTTTTGGAGTTTGTTTTCAGGCTTAGATTAAAAGCATTTGATGGAAGAGTGAGAGCATCTGTCTTTTTTTAGTTTATAATGAGTCTCAACTGATTTAAAATCAGAGTTTCAGACTAAACAAGAGAAATCACTGGCAGTCTGTTTCCTGTACCTTCTGTGATGTCTCTGCCTCACCTTAGTGATTGCCTAACATTTTCTGTGAAAGTTTCCATTTCACACACTCACCGGCAGACGCAACGAGAGGCAAAGACGCCCCAGCCACCTACCGTACTGGTCTATAATAAGGCTGTAATGATGAGGTAAGAGCTGAGGGTTGCCTAGCAACAAGGCTAAGGTGTAGCAAGGTTAATGTTTGAAAGCCAGGTGTTGCTTCGAAGAATGAAAACACAGCAAAATGACAAAGTCCCRTCCATCATTATAACAATGGAAGAAAAAAAACCACAGCATGAGTTTCTGGTTTTGTAATAGACAGCTGATTGTTTCCACTGAGGCAGAGCTGAGCTCAGACACACACATACTGCACACAACCTCCTCTACGCTGAAAAAGAAACCTCTTTACAAAACTACATTGATGGCTTGAAGGAATGAATATCCCCTGAGTTTAAGATCTTCTTACGTTGAAAAATGGTAGAGTTATGGCTGTTTTTGCAACTTTACGAGATGTTGTGAATGATGCTCAGCTACTAGCACAACCTTTAGCAGAATATCTGTAAAATTGAGCCGATTTTCTGTTTGCTTATTTTGATTAGCTGAGGCGGCAGGTGAGGATGTRGATCAGTGGTGTCCAAAGTCAGTCCTCAAGGGCCGATGTCCTGCATGTTTTAGGTGCTGTTCTGGTTCAACAGCGATGAACCTAAGGAGTGCTTAATTAGTAGGCCTCCTCAGTATGTCATCAAGGGGCCTATCCCAATATCCGCACTCCCACCCTCATTCCGCCCTTGTGCACTTCAAATGCACGTTCATGTTGAAGGGTTTGAGTGCGTAGCGTGTCCCACTTTCTCCACATCCGTCCTTCGCCCMGCCCATTTTGGGTATTATTTCCGCCCTTACGTGAAGTCCGCATTTTTACGGACTTCGGCGAAGTGTATTACCCACAAWTCATGGCTGTGTGTGACGTTTTGAATTAAAAAGCAGAAATCTGGCAATGTCCACTGAGCACCTTCCAGTTTAGTGGTGGCAGTAATGCACTTAGACTGCCAACCACCAATAAAACCWWAASAAGAACTTATAGAAGTTAGTTCTCATACTCTGATGTATAAGCCTCCTTTGCTTCATGTGCTTTCTTCTCCTAAAAACCATTGCTTTTTGTAGTTGTATTATCATTTTTAGCAACACAAATGCCAAAACAGTGACTGGACCCGCCATGTTGGATGTCGCAGTTACAATGCAAGTCGATGATGTAATCTGTACTGTCCCAATTCTTAATTTTTTTTGCACTCTTGTAACCTTGCGCACTTCAACACTTATGTGCACTTCGACWGAATCCACACTTCACAGAGGGGCGTAGGGTGCACACTGAGCATTGGGACTGGGCCAAGGTCTGCAGAGGCCAACTAACTAGGCACTCCTTAGGTTCAGCTGTGTTGAACCAGGGCAGCTCCTAAAACATGCAGGACACCAACCCTTGAGGACTGACTTTGGAGACCACTAATATAGATCCAAGGGTAATTTCCTCAAAGTCTCATTAACGTCCACCCATTAGTTCATGAAATGTTTTGCTAAMAGACAAATTGGGTGGATTCAAACAGTTTAAAGTTTCATGCAATGACATTGTGCAATGAGTAGCACATGGAGTATGTGTTGAGAACAACTCAACTACGACCACACCAACGTCCAGTTAGAGACAATTTTGTGATTTCAGGAACAGAACAGAATATTTTTTAATCCCAAGAGAAAGTCAACATCCAGTAGCAASTACAAACCCCAAATTTATGATTCAATGCAACARAATAGACACATTTAAAAGGTGAAAGATAATAATACKTCTCCTGCCCCTGARCTGTTGGCTTTGAGTAACAGTGSCCCCKTGAGAAATTTAGTTGAACAGCCCTGTATTATTGTCTCAAAATAAGCTGCTTTAAAGTCAGCATTGATCATTGACTTATGSATGGGAATTCCTTGTTGGAAAGTGGGAAAGTTCAGAATTCAAGATATCAGCTACTCACCACAAATCACTAGTRAGTAAAACTCTCTTACTTTTAATTTTARTTGTATTTCTGTATTATTTATTTCACATTCAGTCAGTCGTACACAAAGTACTTTTCAGTTCTATGCAGGAAATACCACGTAGAGCCCAGTTATTGTTTGTCAGCGGTGCTCAGCTGGAGTAATGAGACAACGAACATGACGTTCTCAGTTTAGTCAAAGTTCAGAGATCCTACAGCTCAGGGCATGCCAAATTTAAGACTTCTTTAATGCCACTTGAACTTAAATTTAAAGGCACAGTGTGTAGGATTTTGTCAATTCTTTTAGCCGAAATTGCAGACAAAGACCTTGTTTTATTATTTTTACCGTATAAAAAGCTGTTTATTTCTCCATGATCGCAGGTCACCACTACAGGCAGCCGCCATCTTGCACCGCCATCTTGTCTANGTCATTGTAGCTGGGATAATTTTACTTATTAAAGCTCATAATCTTACCACTTGAAACATCACTAGCCCTGAAGCTGCTGGTAGACATCGCGATTAGAATTATCAAAGGTTTTTGACACCTGAGAGACACCGTAGCAACTCTTTTGTGTTCGGAAGTGGGGAGTGGGGGTGGGGGGAGGACCAGGGAGGATGATTCAACCACTCAACCACTAGATGTCACTGAAAACAACAAATCCTACCCACTGTGCCTTTAAGACTAACTTCACAATAAACACCGTCGGAAAAAAAATAATTAAAAAAACAGCAACAATTTTACCCAAATCTTTATTTTAACACAAAACAACTAGCTGCAAGAGGCATTCAGTAAATTCAACCACTCAACCACTAGATGTCACTGAAAACAACAAATCCTACACACTGTGCCTTTAAGACTAACTTCACAATAAACACAGTCGAAAAAAAATAATTTAAAAAAACAGCAACAATTTTACCCAAATCTTTATTTTAACACAAAACAACTAGCTGCAAGAGGCATTCAGTAAATTATTTTAAAAAGTAAAYAAATTTTACCAGTTATTTTAATATTTGAGACCAATTACAATCATCCTACTTACAATGTGTTAATATGTTTAAGATCCCAGAAAGATTGATTTAGGAAATTTTGAGGCTAATTAAGGCTTTACTTTTAGATTGATGAATTCAATGCTTTTTAATTCAAGGCACTGAATCATGTAGCCCTCTGTGAAAATGTCTGATGCCCCTGCTTTAAAACAAATTTTTACCTTAAAAACTTTCTTAAAAAGCCCTGCTAAAACCTACCTTAAAACAGCAACAAATCGTTACCTTAAAAAATTCCCTTGAATAACCTATTTACAGTAAGACACCTCCTTCATCAAATGCCCCGCCCAGCTCACCAGCCAACCCGGCACTGTGCAGTCGTTTGACCAGGGGGATAGAAGAGCACTTCAGTCTGATGGTGGAGCAGGGCAATGACAGCAACCATCTTGAAGAGGTATTTACAAATATTTCCTGGATGTTCCATAAAAAAACTGTCCATTTGTTCATGGGATATTTTGCTAACAGACAGCTTTGACTCCAAATGACAAAGGCGTCTCGTGTTCATGAGTATTTAAAGCATGAGAGTGTGTTCAGAAGAGGAGCCAGAAAGAGGCAAAAGGCTCTCAAACAGATGCAGCGAGAAGAGGCAGCTGCCCGTTCCTCTAAAGCCGCTTTCCTAAAGAAAACAGTCGTCCATCTGTTTTGTGTCAGTGCGAACCAGGATCCCACCCCCCACCACACCTACCCTTCACCCCCTTTGTTTACCTGCGAACACACGAAGCACCCGCTGAACACACACACACACACACACAAACACACTCCTGATCACGCCTAACAGAAGCAGGGTTCAGTTGGCAGGCTAATTTCCAGAGCTGCAGAGGGCCGGAGCTGAGCTGAGCGCACAGGAAATGACTTCCTCAAGGACAGATAAAACCGTTTCTGCTCGTCTTTCACCGCCCCGCTCATCCATGTTCCACTCAAACTTTAATTGGACATGGTCGACGAGCGAAAGAGGACACGTTTCCACCGACGCTTAACGACAGAGTTGGGGTGGGGTGGCGAGGTAGAGAACATTTTTTGACAGTTTTTTTTTAGCTATCAATCGCTGCTGATGGAGGGAATTACAGCAGCGTCGTAAAASTGTGTAAACACAATCTGATGACTTGTGCCGTCTGGGGGCTGAGTGGGTCTTTGTTTTAATCAACGTGGTGTCTTGACGGTGATTAGTCTTATTCAGAGAGGAATCCCCGTGTCAGCGAGGGACTCTGGGGACACCAGCTGAGTCGTCATTCTGCATTTCCAAACGCATTCACCGAGCGGAGTCGCCTGACTGATGCGTGATCACCGAGACAAAAGGTTAATGCGCGTGCAGCGCGGCACTTGAGGCGTAGCTGGCTTACGTAACCTCCATCAACCTCATGTGGCTCGTGTCATAGACGCCACCCTTTACATAAAGCAGTCTCAACAAACAAAACTAAGTTTTAATCACAGTTCCCAGATCATTTCTCTGAATGCTCCCTGTTCCTGTAAGGCTGCTAGTCCTCTCGGCTCGCCTGACAGCAGGCTTGATTTGTTAGAGCTGCTCTCCTGAGGAAACACAGGAAATATGRAGGAGAATGACACCGGAGAGGCTTTACACATAATTCAATTCGCACTCGTAATGCTCAGCGTAATTTCCCTAATCACTAATGTTGCTCTGAAAACAAATAATGCTGAAACTCATTTACAATTCCTAGCAGCTAAATGGGACTACTGTATCTCTGAAGGTGGTAAGACGATGATTTACTCACAGACTTGATGATAATCATTAAAAAATGAGACAATAAGTCACAGAAATTATTTTTAATTATATTATCTTGGAAAATTATAAATGATTTGACCCAATTTTAACAATTTCTGGACATTTCTAGGACCAAGACCTCACTTTTAGGTGTGAACAGCCTCAATGTGCATTAGGATAGAATAGAATAGAATAGAATAGAATAGAATAGAATAGAATAGAATAGAATAGAATAAGACTTTATTGTCTCGCAGAGGGGAAATTCAGGTGTAACAGCAGCAGTTTTATTTTTTAAAGTGTTAAAAACAATATATAAGAAATAAAAGTAACAATAGCAGTACTATTAATAAAATAAAAATATGATAATAATAATAAAATAAAAAAAGTAAAATACTGTACAAGCCAATACTGTGCCATTTAAAAACATTTTCCCTTTTATCTTCATACGTTTATTAGACTGAACATATATTTTTGATAATGCAGCTCTTTTTGTTTCTTTTTTTTAGCTAGAAGTTGTAATAATTGTTAATCATTCTCAATAAAAATTTTGATTTTGTCAGAATTTAATTAATTACAGTGGATGACAAAAATGGTTAGTTTAGATGAATTCCTATGGATATAAAGTAAGAGTTTTATACTTTTGTTCTTTGTGTTGGGTTTAATTTGTGTTCTCATAAAACCCGAGGGTACACCGCAAAGACTGAAGAATGATATTAGGAGTAGCGCTACACGAGGGTTAGATTTTTATGTATTTAAGCTCAAAACATGGGGATGGGGGACAGATCCTGGTTTTGTTTTCCTACCTGGGACATTTGCAGTTGACCCAGTCGTGCTCAGTTTCTAGAGGCGACGCCCCTTTCCCTGTGAGAGACGGTGCCTTCGGCAGAGTGACGGGTAACTCCTCCTCAGGGACTGCAACAGCTCCACAAGAGCCACAGTGCACCACAGGGATGGGCGTGCCCCAGTACCGCTGTCGAGATATCAACCAGTCCTTGAGCTTGGAGCTGGTAAGGTGGCCTCCGACCCGTTGAGATCTGGCCTTCTGGGTAATGGAGTGAAAGGCCTGCTCCCTGGTGAGGTCTGAAAACTACACAGGGATAATGATAAAATTAATTATCATTAATCATTTTTCTTTTATTCCAGAGTTGTTTATAAATCAGGACCTGTGCCGACCTCTTTAGAATTGATCACAGTTTGTGTCCCGTCATCGTTGGTTTTCAGCACCGGAGTCCAACTCAGATTCAGAGCTTTGGCCACGGACAGATCTTCCTCACTGCAGTCTGGAACGCCTGTCCCACACAAATGTATCATAAAAAAACAAGCCCGCAGCAATACAATGTAGACTTACAAGTATAACTGATCCCTGGAGAGAGAGAAAGAAGAAAAGCCCTCCCTGTGGTGAGGATAAAAGCATGTTGTCATGTAACAATCCCTCAGGTTTAAACTCCACACCTTCAGATTTCACAGCACATATACAACACAGCGAGGTACAAATATACAGTGATAATGGCTTTTTTTTTGTATGTTAGCAACCCCAAGGTCAGCTTGTTCTCAATGTGACCACCATCTGCCCACACAAGTCCAACAACTCACCAATAACAGTGTCCAGATTGCCATCGAATGCCTCTTTGTGAGAGATGATCACAGGAACCTCGAGGCCAGTCAACACGTTCTGAGCTGTGACCTCCGTGAGGCAGTCTGCTGGACAGAAACGAAAGCAGGTGTGGAAAAGCTCGGAGCTGCCAGCACGCGGTTAAATAAACAGGAAGCATGTGCCAAGTCATCAACATGCATGCTGGAAACAGAGAACACGCAAAGGCAAGAAAAACGATTGCACAACTGCTTTGTGTTCTGCAGGTACAGTGAAGTCGTCTTCACTGCAGTTATTTTGACAGTATCAAGGCTACTTTAACAGTAGAGTGTGTGTACGGTGAGTGGAGCGAGGCTCACCTCTGCCAGGCTGTAAGGCTTTCTGCAGCACAGAGCGGACCGAGCTGCTCCCGTGCAGCAGTCTGTGCGAGGGCAGGATGGCCAGGTAAGCCGCCCCGAACACCGTCTCAGGGGAGGAGCTGTAGGCTGGCAGGGTCTCCCCCGTCTCCTCGCCACTGACCTGAAAGTTAAAAGTTTCAAAACTTAAAGAACTGTTYTTTAAGGAGACCAATTATGGGTCCTAGAAATTTTTATGGTATGTCTGTGGGCTATCCAGACCATGTTCATTC